AGGGGTAATTTGGCTATATATTGCTTTAAACGACTTCTTCTCTGGAACTAAGATACAGATATCAACCATGTTTGGTTGGAAGCATTTTCCGGTGGTGAGAATTCAAAATTGTACAAATGGTGGGGCTGACCCCTATAGGGGCTGAGGGGCGGGTCCAAATAGGGTCAATTTGGCTATATTGCTTTAAGCGACTTCTTTTCTGGAACTTAGAGATATATATCAACCATATTTGGTTGGAAGCATTCTCCCATGGTTGGGATTCCAGCTGGAGAAATGGAGGGGCTGAACCCTACCCCCACCCCCGGGGACTAAGGGGCGGGGCTAAAAAGAGTTTATAACTTGGACACAGTTAAGACCCCCACCGTATAACCCAACCATATGTTGGTTGGTGGGTTTGTGGGTTGGTGGGTTTGCACTCAGCAATAATCCAGCTATATAACGGCGGTCTGTAAATAATCGAGTCTGGACTTGACAATCCAGTGATTGATATCATGCGCATCGATCCACACAATTGGGATCGATGACATGCATCAACCAAGTCAGCGAGCCTGACCACCCGATCCCGTTAGTCGCCTCTTACGACAAGCATAGTCACCTTTTACGGCAAGCATAGGTTGCTTGAGACCTATTCTACCCCAGATCTTCACGGGTCTATAACCATATGTACAAATGAGAGTATAATCAGGAATAATGAGAGGAATGCACATATGCTACCAGGACTGGCCCTTCTGTTCATCTGTCCGGCACTCCCAAAGGAGTTAGAACCTTGATCATAACATGAAAAACGATATTATCCCAACCCTATAATAAACAGATACATTGTATACATTTGTTTGTTATGAAGAGAATAATACCTTTAATATGATTTATCCTGGATCATAACATGGAAACGGTTCAGATCTTTATGCTATATTTGTTTCTAGAGAAGTACACGTTCATGCTGTCAGATTTGCCTTCCACCCACCTTAAATGCTGACAGTCAAAATTACGAAATATGTGCTGTATTATATACATGTACAATGCAATTGTATATTTTGTCATGATTGCGTAAATTTCCAGGTGGGCCTCTTGTTGGCAAATGGCATATAAGGAACGTCATCCCGAGACAAGGGCGTAAACTGACTATAAAAGTCCAGTTTTAACCCTTGCCGAACTAGGCTGGAATTCCCGAGTTACATTTTAGCTGGACTAATGAGTCTATGCACATAGTCCAATCCAAACAACACATCCAGTTCGAGAACAACATGGATTTCAACGTGCAGATATCGGTCGACTGCAGGATTTGCAAAGCATGTGTACCGCCAACTAATATTTTCATGTTTTTAATCAAGGTACTAAAGTGATTAGTGAGTGAGTGAGTGAGTTAAATTTCAAGTCACATCGGCAATATTTCAGCCATATCGTGACTATCAATAGTTAAATATAATACATATATTGAAACTTGTATAAAAACCTGCCAACGAAGGACAGTAAAATTACTAGATCATCACAGAAAAAGATATAAAACTAGTACGGAAGTATAAAAGAGAATAGCACTATACATAACGATACAAGATAAAAACAGGCTATAGATCGCCAGCAGCTGAAGGTAGATCACCATGCTAGGGTCCATGGGGACTTACAGTACTTTTGCTACCTGCATGGACCCCAGCTGGATTTACATCATCCCTTTAGCTGTTGGCGATTATGACAAATTTAGCCAAAGTTAAATGAACATATAAAATTCTATTAAGTGAGTGAGTGAGTTAAGATTTAAAGTCACATCGGCAATATTTCAGCCATATAGTGAAAATTCTATTAAGAACGTGGTAGAAATAAATAGACTTTGAAAGACGTGGTCTTACATACCCTCTCAGGGGGACAATAATTTTACACTACTTCAACCCCCTTCGAGAATACAGCCACTAACAATCACAGTTAACAAATTTATTTTACCAATTATAAAAACTATACTATATACAAAACATATCAATCAAAATTTTAGCAACAATTCAATTTCTTTTAAAAAGTCAATAATTAAATGAACACTGATATTAAAAAGATCCTTTAAGGATGAAACTTTGAAATATTTATCCCTTGTGATGGAAAAATCAACACAATCAAGCAGGACATGCTTGACGGTGATTCTTTCATCACAAGGGATACAAAATGGAGGATCCTCACCTTTTAAAAGATATTCGTGTGTATACCTGCTATGGCCAATACGACATCGTCGCATAATGACCTCTTCAAATCTGGACTGACAGCCCAAGTAGGTGTAACCAATATTTGGTTTAATTTCATGTAATTTATTGATACCGACTTGGGAGTCCCACTTCTTTAGCATCAGATCACAAATATAAGATCTGATTACAGGTTTATAATCAGTATATGGGATAAGAAGTGGTGTCACAGATTTGTTGAGTGCTGCTTTTGCAGCAGCATCAGCCATTGAGTTGCCTTTGATGCCCACATGACTGGGCAACCAACAAAAGACGATGTCGTATTGGCCAGTAGCAAGTTCATTAAATAATTCAATAATTTTGATTAAAAGTGGATGTTGACATGAGATGTTATGGATAGCCTGCAGGCAAGAAAGAGAATCGCAAAATAGGATAAACTTCTGATATTTTGACTGTTTACTGATATATTGTAAAGCTGTTAAAATGGCATTGGCCTCAGCTCTGAAAATAGAACTATTGTCGGGTAATCTGGAGGAGATAGTCCTGGATCCAATGACAGTGGCGCTAGCAACAGCGCCACTATCCTTGGATCCATCAGTAAATATAGATTTGTAAGTATTATATGTGTTTCTTAATTCATTATATTTTTGTTGATAAATAAGTTGATTTGTTTCCGATTTCTTTAATTTAGTTAATGTCAGATCCACCTCTGGCTTTACCAACTGCCAAGGTGGAGAAGACAAAAGCTGCGTGGGGGCTATAGCTGCAAGATTAATTTTAGCGGCAGAAATATCAGATTGAAGTCTTATTCCAAGTGGGGGGAGAACCGATGATTTTTTATTATAGAGATTTTCATAAAGGGGGTGAAAAACACAGTCATATGCTGGATTCGAGGTATTAGAGCGTAATTTAGTGACATATTGTAAGGATAATTTAATTCGGCGTTGTTTGAGGGAAGGTTCATCAGCCTCAACGTACAAACTGTCAATAGGAGAAGTTCGGAAAGATCCAAGACAGAGTCTCAGACCTTGATGGTGAATAGAGTCCAAAAGTTTAAGATTACTTTTGCAGGCTCCACCATAGATGATGGAGCCATAATCAAGTTTAGAGCGAATAAGTGCTCTGTACAGTTGAAGGAGGGTTTTCTGATCCCCTCCCCACTTGGAATTTGAAACAACTTTTAGGAGATCAAGGGCCTTCAGGCATTTATTTTTCAAATATTTTATGTGAGTTAAAAACGTTAAATGGTGGTCAAAAATAAGACCCAAGAACTTAGCCTCTTTTACAACTTTAATCGGAGTGCTATCTAAAATTAAATCAGGGTCTTTATGGGGTTTGTATTTCCTACAAAAGTGTATACAATTTGTTTTGGATTTTGAAAATTTAAAACCATTTTCTAAACACCATTTATTTATCTTATTTAGACATAATTGTAATTGTCTTTCGATAGTATGCATGTTTTTACCACGACATGATATGTTAAAATCATCAACGAATAAAGATCCATCAATGGAGTCATTTAAAACCTTAGAGAGGCTATTTATTTTAATGCTGAACAATGTGACAGACAAAATACTGCCTTGTGGGACACCCTGATCCTGATTATAATGATCAGACAGGGTAGTACCCACGCGGACTTGAAATTTTCTGTCAGATAAAAACTTGGATATAAATTGAGGCAAACGGCCTCGCAATCCAAAGTCATGTAAGTCTTTTAAAATACCGTGCTTCAATGTAGTGTCATATGCTTTTTCTAGATCGAAAAAGATAGACACTGCATGTTGCTTATTTACAATGGCAATCTTAACAAATGATTCCAGTCGAACTAAATGGTCAATGGTACTGCGATTTTTACGGAAACCACATTGGATATTTGTGATTAAGTCATTTGATTCCAAGTACCATGTTAATCTGTTATTGACCATGCGTTCCATGGTTTTGCAAACGCAGCTTGTTAATGAAATGGGTCGATAATTTGAAGGATCAGTATGATCACGTCCAGGTTTGGGTATGGGAACAATTATAGCATCGCGCCATGAAGAAGGAAATTCTCCTGACGTCCAGATTTTATCATATATCATCAAGAGGGTTTCTAAACATGATTGCGGTAAATGTTTTAAGAGTTGATAATGTATATTATCAGACCCTGTAGCAGTATCATGAGCTTGCCCAAGGGCAGTATTGAGCTCATGAATGGAAAAGGTTTCATTGTAATCTTCTCCATTATCAGAACTAAAATTTACAGGTTTCTTTTCTTGCTGCTTTTGAATTTTTTGGAATTTAGGGACCCTTTCCCAGATTTTGAACCCTTTCCTTTAATCTTCCGGATCATGTTCCATAACTTAGATATTGGCGTACGTGAAAAAATCCTCAAGTACTTTTCCTTTATTATTAGTGTCACTACTACCCCAAAGAGGGTTATGGCCATTCAAATCTCCCATGATAACACATGGCTTAGGGAGTTGGTCATATAGTGCTTGAATATCAGACAGTCGAAGAGAGTATGACGGTGGTACATACAATGAACATAATGTAAAAACAATATTTAAAGTTAAACGTACCGTACCGCAACAGCCTGAAGAGGGGTTTTGAGAGGAACAGGACTGTGAATGACGCCCTGCCTCACTATAACAGACGATCCTCCAGTTGCCTTATCCCCCGGAGGGGAAAAGCAATGGTAGGAGTCGTACTGTCGTCAATCGAACTTATCGGAGGTTTTGAGGAAAGTTTCCTGTAAACAAATAGTTGATGGTTTCAAATCTTGTATTAGTAGCTGAAGATCATTAAAATTATTCCGAAGTCCTCGACAATTCCATTGAATGAGGGTAGCAGAGCAACTCATGGGGGTTCAACTGGAGATCTTGAGCGGGAGGAAGACCCTCTCTGTTGAATTGGTGGAGATGGGGTGACTTCCATATCTAGAGGTTCAAAGGGGTTATGAACCTCCAGAGGGACTGTCAATGGTAAAGGCACCTCGCTGTGTTTCAGGGCCTTTGATTCTTTTTTCTTTTGTTGTTTTTTTCCTTTTCTTGTCATGCTTACATTATGCAGCATTTCAGTGATAGTTTCAGGTTCAGGTTCAGGTTCAGGTGCAGATCGTGGCCGAGGTTCTGTAGTTTGTGAAGCTGTTGACGAAGAAACAGTGGTCTTGTCAGCATTAACTGGAAATAAAATGGTCTGTTCGTCTGAGACCCAGTTAATAGCCGTTTGGCATGAAGCATCAACTTTGAGTGGAGACGAGGAGACTGCAGCAGAGTAATTCAGCCTAGAAGAGGAAGTAGGTGACTCTTGGTCTAAAAGCTTTTTAGCATCTGTGAAGGAAATGTCATTATTGTATTTGATTTTTAGAATTTTTGTTGGTCTCACATAACAGGGGCACGATTTAAATGAGGACATGTGAGCACTGTTGCAATTTGCACATTTGATGGCATCTGTGCAGTCTGTGCTGTCATGAGAGTGGCTGCAGCGGGAGCAAACAGGTGAGTTGCGACAAGATTTAGCACCATGTCCAAATTGTTGGCATTTGAAACACCGGAGTGGATTTGGTATATATACATCCACCCCGATGTTGAAATACCCTGCTTTGATAGATGATGGAAGCTTTGCGAGAGCAAACGTGAAAAGATATGTATTTGTTTTTACGAAGGAGTCACCATCTTTCCTTGTGAATCTCTTCACAGAAGTCACACCCTGATTTTTCAGTTCTGTTGCAATCTCCTCCTCAGACATGTCGGAAAGGCATTTTGCACCATCACGTACAATACCTCGACATGAATTCAGAGTCTTGTGCACTGAGACAACAATCTCAGTATTTGCAAAGTGATGAGCTTGAAGTAGATTTAAAGACTGTTGTCTCCGTGCACATTCCACCAGCAAGGAGCCGGAACAGGAGACGAGTAACATTGGTCACATTTCCACAGATACCTTCTATGGATTTGGAAACTACAAAGGGGTTGATTTTGAGGGGTACACCATCAACTCCTTCTACAACAAGAAAACGGGGCCAAGAATCAACAATATGTGCAGACTCTTCATCAGAAGAAGTTGCATTATTTGTGTCAATATGACGTCTTTTTGTTTTTGATCGAGAACCAGTGGACATGGGGGTAGCCATAATGAAAGAAAGATATTCGACACCCCTGCTCCCCACCCGCCATGGAGTGTCAACAAGGACAGTGTTGTAGTGGTAACTGACTACAAACACCAGGGTTACAAGGGTGCTATACTCCAGCAAAAAGGGCACAGGTAGCTAAAATTGTCAAACAGGGTAAAAGTCAGGCTGGTTCCGCCCAAGACAGTTACCTGAAGACCAATAGAAGCTGGAGGTCAATAATGCCAGATTGGCCCATGAGCCACCGCCTTCTGGCATAGGACTCTAGGCAAAGTTATTTACAACATGACTTTTATTATAATATTACATGTTGAAGATACAGTTATAACAATGAATTGGAAGTGCAACTTATCCATGCACAGGGCATGGCGTGACCAGCTGATTGATAGAACCGGGCCAATTCTACCACCCGTCTAGGTGAAGTAAGGGTCAAAGTGGTGTGTTGGGCAAAAGGAACACTGTTCCTGGCTCCAGTGCCCTCAACCACCAGACTCCGGTCCTCCACCGACACAGGGGCGCAACCCACGGCAAACGGGCTGCCCACTTTGGTCGCCTCTTACGACCAGCAATGGGGTGCTGTGGAATTATTCTGCCCCGGTTCCACACGGGGGAAGAGCGATTAGCGTTACCCAGCACTCACCACGAGGAGGTTGCTCTTCATGAGTGCCTAAAGTGATTAGATGTACTTCAAGGGGTAAGACCCGTTTTATTGCAATAAAGATCTTGATATCCGACCAAATCGTGTTTACTGGGCGCCGACATTTTATTTGAAGCAAATGCAAGTGATATGAGAGATGGAATCTGATTGGTCCATAGGAGGGACATAGAAGGGACAAAACTCGTAATAGCCACTGGAAATTTCAGCCTCGTTCGGCAAGGGTGGAAGCTGGACTTTTATAGTCAGTTAACCCCTTTTGGTTCGGGGAAGATGTATAGTGATGATGATGATAATGAAGTAGTATAGGTAATGGGGGTTCTGCCGCAACTCCACTGGAGCCATATTTATATACCTATACCACCACTACAGGGGGAATTTTTTATACCAAAACGCCAATGCGATTTAACGATCGTCATAAGATTAAACTAAATTGGAATGAAAATATTCTCTATTATATTTATTCATATGTAAACCATTATTTTTAACAAAGTGATATTCAACATTTTTACTAAGCTCTTCGTTCATTTTACTAGGAGACCAGACTATATACTCTTCTTGGTAATTGGAAAGAAACAATTGATGACCGTATTTGGTTGATTTGACATCACTGATATAATATATACCTTGTGGTAATTCTCTCCATTTGATAATTTTGTCTCTGAGCATAAATGCTTTGATAGCTTTTTCGAGTTCTTCCTTTGTTTGTTTGTAATTCTCCATTATTATACACTTACGTAAGCATTCGTTTAAATGAATGTACGATTTTTTATGCGGTGCTATCCAACGATAGGAAGCAATCTATTTTTAATCTCCAACAAGTTCTTTGGTTTTTGCACGGAATAATTGACGCGCTTGTTAACTCCCCTGTTCTATGAACTTTTTTTTTCTCGTCTTCGCTAATATCACTGGCCTTACGAGAATTTGATCGAATCTCCTGCTTCATTGCGTTGTATTTGGTGAGTTCTGACAAAACTAAACGAAACTCCTCCTCGGATATCTTACAATCAGCCATTGCTGTTGAAATATGGTCCTCATATATGGTCCTCCGAATATGCTGTTCAACTTTGCTTCGGCGAGTATCCGAATATTATCATGTTTTAAAGCTTTCTTTTGCAACTTACGAGAAATGAATTTTGTTGCTATTCCTGCAAGTCCTGAGACTCCAGCCGCTATTTGCATGCCAAGTACGATAGGCGCGGCGATTATAGTTGATAATAAACCAACACCGGCTACACCGAGTCCCATGCCAGCTATTACAAGTGCAGTGTCAACTCCGTCGAGAGCATTCACGGCTCTTCGATACTTTTTATACAATCCAAGTCTCAGCTCCCACTCCTTCTCTATTCAATGTTTTATGTCACTTATTTGATGTAATCGAAATCCATTAACAGTATCCATCTTTTCATCGAGCGCTGGATATAAACCCATAGTGTATATTATTATATCATATAATAGTCTTTCATTGGTCTTGCTTCAATGTTTTGAGAGTATACATCAAACTTATTAAATGTATATTATACGGCATGAATATCTTAGTAAGAGAAATGCTGTCACTTTTAATAATTTGGACCCCCTCAAGGGTTGCAACGGGTGATACTCCCATATAAATAATACTGCAACGTTGACGTTGGTGTTTCTTTAGCCATTTAATTGATAGACCTGGTAATATTTCGAAGGCATCTTCTGGTGCATCTCCGAACAAGACTTCAATAATAAGCGTAGAAAGATCAGGTATTGCACTCAAGTTATCTTTAATATCATTGAATTCAGTAACCAAATTTAAACTAACATTTTTTTATGCCGGACAACTAAATAACATATGACCTGGGTTTTCTGGCCGGGGGAGAGACTAACACACTTTTTCGTTTTGATGGGATATAAGCCCCGAGTACGATCCCACTATTTATTATCATAGTTAAATTATGTGCCTTACCCGTCATCACATGCAGTGGGTTAATGACAATATTCAGTAGCCACTCGCTGTTTGCTTCGACCATAGTCCATTAAGTATCATCATTGCAAGTAAGATTACATGAAGTGTTTTTATTGAGTCTACTAACGTCGACATCGCTTAAATCTCCTAGATTACCTGTGAATGTAACTTCTTTCCGCTTGTATACATTATCTTGTAAGTGTAAAGCATATAACTTACCATCGGTACCGGGTTTACCGAATCCTTCTGTGTCTCCGGGATCGGAAAGCGCAATTGTATTACATTGTCTGAGTGTTCCAGGGCCTGATGAATCAACCATTATTTATAATATGGAGTGTTACACTCAAGTATCCTATATGTACAGGTTGATGTTTAACATCTAATACAGAAATTTTGAGGTCTGAAATAATACCACGCTTTAGTTTTTTATATTGTAATGATGAGAAAGATTCCGTTCTTCCGCTATTATATTTTTCATCTTTGACTGAAATAGCTCTCAGTAGAGTTGAAGGACTTTTGAGTTGAATATTAACCGTTGTACTGATTTGATCAAGATGGATGCACAACTCTTTATAGGGAACTAAATTGGGCAATTTAAATCCCTGCACCGTTGTGTTGGGTTGTATTGTCATTTTAGTTGGTAATCCAAGTGTATCTACTGCTAAGTACGGGTGAAGTTCTATTTATTCTTCTCCAGCACTTAAACTCACTATCCCATTCGACTCATTTTGTGTGAGACTCGCTCCCAAAGGCTTAAAAATTTCATCATTGAGTGAGGATACGCTGTAATACCCATCAGATATAGTGTGGCTTTTGTTTAAAGTTCTTAACTCATTATTTCCTCTTGCAGTATTTATATTGGTCCATCGCGGGTAATACGTTACATCGCATAGGGCGACTTCAAGTTGTCAATTCGAGTTATCGATAGTATGAAGCAGTTCAATAGACTGACCATTTGTTATTCCTGGAAGTGTAACATATACATATTAAATATACAAAGATACTATATCATAACTTAAATATGAAATCAACTTACATTACTAATCAGTCGATTTTAGTAAGTGCCTCTGGTGCTATTTTTTTGGTTAAATTCCCTGATATCTTTGAAAAATACAGGGTCACGGCAACTAGCGATAAAATGGTGGACGATTGGTTTCACAATCTGAGGCAATTTTGGCAGAATCAGTTAAACTTTGCCATATGGTGTGCAACAACAGGATGTGGTGTATCTCTTTATGCCCCAGGATTTGAACTAAATAAGTCTGTTTTATCATTTCACATGTACTATCAGATTAGACGTATACTTAAAGAAATTAGTGCCCCATTACCGCAGGATCGAGCATGGAATGCATCAAATAATCCGTGCTATAGGTGGGCATTCGAACGTATTTGTCAGGAATTTAATGTTTCTACGAGTAAAGATTGGCGTCAGAGTGGAATTAACCATGCTCCAGGTATTCCATACGCTGGTGGACACTCTGTTATGGAGTCAGCGATGATTTACTGAAAAGAGGTCGGCTTCTTCTGAGCTTTGCTTTCTCAAGTAACGAGTGGAGAGACGATCGTATGAACTTTAAGGGTGGTGTTGCTTACACCTTCCAAAAGGTTGAGCAACCACCTGGAAATTGCTTGGAATGAATTTCTTAATGATAAAATAGAAAATAAATTTAATAACCCAGGAGTTGTAAGAGTTAATGAATCAATAAGAACTTATGTATGTGCAATTCTTGGTGCACAATCGCAAACACGAACGGGAATCATCGGTTCTGGGACGGCGCTTGATGCGCAAAAACAGTTTGTCGCAAACGTAGAGGATGCTATTAATTCACCAGTTGACATACGATCTTCTATAAAACATTATCAAGATGTATAACAGTACGCTCAATCCAAAGTAGACTACGTTTATGCGCTGGGACTATACATGTAATATGGAACTTAAGATCGGTCAAGTGATCGGTTATAATAATAAAATTGTTATTGCTTCCGATCAGCAAAAAACAGGTATAAATTCAGATATTAACACCAAA